AAGCAACATTTCTTTGGTGAAAGCTTTAAGTTGTGTTTACTCAACCTAATAAATACCATCTCGAGACGCTCCAAAGCGATCTTCTCATTAGGGGCAAAAACAAGTAGATCGTCGAGATAGCAAAGTAAGCTTAAGAAGTTCTGATCACCAAAGATTGCAGTCATCATTCTCATAAAACTACCCGGACTGTTACACAACCCCTGTGGAAGGCGGTTATATTCATACAACCCCACCGGTGTAGTAAATGCAGAGTATTTTCTGTCATCATCATGCAAGGGCATATTGTAAAACCCAGATGTAAGATCTAAGGTGCTGAACAGGCAATTGCCACCAAGTGCCGCCAAGCAATCAGCTTGATGGGGAAGCGGGTACGCATCCTTAAACGTTCTTCTATTTAGCCACCGGAAATCGGTGCAAATGCGCAAGTCCCCGTTCTTTTTCCAAACCAGCACTAGTGGAGAAGCAAATTCACTAGTCGATTTACGAATTATTTCTCTTTCTTCCATCTCGTCTAGGACTTTGCGGAGAACCTGATACTGGCTCGGAGGTATTCTTCGGTAAGGTAGGCGAAATGGTTTGGTATCAGTGACATGAATTCTGTGTACAAATCCCTCAGCCTTACCACAATCAAGGTGATGCCGAGAGAAAATATTCTCGTACTGTAAAATAAGTTCTCGAAGCTTATTCTTACAGTCTTCAGAAGCCTCACATGAGTTAATATCTAATGCACCCAGACCAGCATGTTCCAACTGTTTAACCAAATCCTCCCGTCGATCTAGGCAAGTTCTGGAGTCAACCCTTTGAGTACAGTTAAACAGTGGATCATCATTACAGGTGAGTACAAGATTCTCCAAATCCTCAAGTGCCACGCATGCAAACAGATCGGCAATTTTTGCGTTGCGTCTCAACAAAACTTGCTGATGAGACAAATTAATCAGCTTCAGCGGCACCCAACCATCACCCCACAACGGTGTAACAAGCCTAGCCACTAACACGTGCCTAGGGGCCGATCTAGAAGTAGTAGGCTCAGTTATCACAGTACTACCGGGTGAAATGACACAAGACTTATTCAACTTACCCCAAACCAAGTATTCACGCCCAGGTTCCAAACACACTGCTGACGTACATCTGACTGTACCAATCTTGTCTGGGATTTCCTCACCCTTCCAGCGTTCCATCCCAGCCAACATGGAAAGGAACCTTTCTGATTCCTGATCATCATTCAGACATGGATGAGACAAGGCATTCCAGTATGCAGGACAACGTTTAGACTCACGGAGCACATGTTTAATCACATTTGTCCCAATTATTAGCTCGTCTAGTTGGCCTTGAACAACTAGCGTAGGCACAATGATCTTGCAGCCATAAACTTCCATCTCAATATCATAAGCAGATTTAGGCTTCACTCGAGTGCCACCACACCCTATCAGGACTGCATCAAAATTGGATCTATTCTCTTTTGTCAACACACCAGCATCGAGGAGTTTGGCCTCTGCTTTTTCACTCATCGTACAGGCCATTGACCCACTATCAAGCATTCCGCCAAGCGTCAACTTGCCTTCCACGATGACTGGTGTGTAAAACAAACTAGAACTACTGCCAATTATGTTTGTGTTCTGTACAATTACATTTTCTGTCAACTCACCAAAATCTACACTCACCGCATCTGCAGCTTCAGCACTGGCAACATTCTCATGGGAGTCATCATCTAGACCCGCACATCCCCCCACCATATACGGGTCTATAAGTTTCCCCCACTCTGGTTGCGCCGAGCTGACACCCTGCGTGGACATACATTCTGTGAGTGACCTGGTGAAAAACAAGAGAAGCAAAGCCTATCTCTAAAGCAATGAGTTTTGGTGGTGTGCGTGTTAGCCTTACAAACATCACATTGTACACTACCTTGCCCATAAACTACATTTTGAGGGCTCGGGACTCTAGAATTTTGTGCCACCTTTTCTAGCACTTGTTCAAGCATACTCATCATCCGACTGAAGATCTCACTATCAGGCTTCTGCACGTTTTGTTTCGTGTAGGTGACTGGTTCAATACACTGAGCCTCAGACAAGCTACTCGGAACAGCTGGAGGAACATTAGACAGGTCTGTTTGAATGTTAGACTGACAATAATCAGTAGACTTTGGTGGGTCAGTGCAATGTATAGAAGCGACAGTGTATCGAGGACGAGGATTAAGATTGCTCAGGGGAGTTCTTTTTTCTCTTTGATAGTCATCCAACCTTCGTTGAATGTCCCTCGCATTCCACTCATCAATCGGTTTGCATTTAAAAAGACACAACAATTCAGGGTCGGGGCAATGTTTCACAAACATGCGCGTCACTTCCATGCTAATGTTATCCATAAATCTGCCCTGTCTGCGCAATCCTTCTTCAGCCAAATCCGCTGATTTGTTAAGCCTGATCCAGTAATCGACTGGATTTTCTCTTGGTTCTGGGTACGTCGAATAAAAATCAGCTAAGGGCAGACAAGAAGCTGCATCACTGAAATATCTCTGCAGAATTGAATAGATAATGTCAGGGTTGCGTACGGCATCTAGAGAAGTATCACTCCTTAATCCAATTTTCACAATGTCCCTAGCTTTGCCCATCAGCCTTGACATTATCTCATCAGCTTGGTCAGATATTGGACACTTTTGTTTGATTAACTGTGATTTTGTCAAATCAATCCAGTCACGGACAGAATATTTATCCGAACCATCACCTTTAAACATTACTGGTTCTCTGTCTGCTTTTACGTGCACAGTGACTTGAGGCACATCTTGTCTGACACTGTCGACATCCGGGTCTTTGCTGTTATGCAAGGCGCAATTGGAATTAACAACCCCAGTCTCAGCAAGCCGTGCCATGATCGAATCGCCTATTTGAGCCCCAAGTCGGCCCATCATGTCTGTTATTTGCTGCAAAGTTTGGTCAGTATTATCAGCTTTTGGAGTTGAAACAAAAGGACCATGCCCCGGAAAATGTCCCACTGTTTGGTTTCTTAATCTGTGCCCACGACCAACACCCATAGTGTTATCGCGCACTGTTTGTACATGCTCAGTACCAGGGAATGACTCATTACGCAAAGTAACATCATTGTATACCCCAGTAAGCAAAGCGCCCCTCCCTCTGGGAACAAATGGGCTTGTTGCATCAAAATCAGAAGGAAATTTTTCGGCCATAATTGAATGTAAGGAATAATAATAACACAATTATATATATATATCAAGAAAAAAATAGTGTTCTGAGTCCAAAGTACAATTTTACCCTAAATTCAAGGATGTAGATAGCCTGAAAGAAAAGAAAAAAATGAAAAAGTGAAAAATATATATATATGTAACCAAATGACCAACCAGTCAACAGTCAGTTTTGGAAATAGTGATGAAAACACAGCATTCTCCAAAGTTCAGCAATCATGCGACGATCTTCAGGGTTCAGCAAACATGCGAAGATCTTCAGAGTTCATCAATCACGCAACAGTCTTCAAAGATCAGCAATCACACAGCGATCCTCAAATTTCAGCAACCACGCGGCGATCTGCGTTGTGCGGATCCTCGCGATGCCACAGGTCACGGCACCAGTGTAACGCTTCTCTTCCTGATGACGCAAATCACTCAGGCGGACACAGAGAACTGCGTTCTGCGTTGTTTATTCTGTAACAGAAATATACATCCTCTGGCAACAGTATGCATTTAAACATGCATCGCCTTTCTGCATTCAGCAACCATTTTCTGCTGTGTTGCCACATAAAGTCATTTTAACAAAACATTATTTATTTACAAAAGTTCAACATACCTGTAACAGAAATATACATCCTCTGGCAACAGTATGCATTTAAACATGCATCTAAAAAACCAAACAAATAGTAAGAAATCACCCCTGCACATATTAATGTCATCATTCCAGCTACACATAGCATGAGCAAATTAAACCACACAAAGTTTGTTACACACGGCAATCACTCGACAGATTTGATCTAAAACATCACTTAAGGTTCATATTGGACTTGTATGTGTTATTAATATGTGTTAAAATACAAAATTTGTCACATTTAGCTGGAGCACATTTTACCTACCGCCTTTCTGCATTCAGCAACCATTTTCTGCTGTAGGCGGGGCTTTGCAGGTGAAAGGTGAAAGAAACAATTACACACTATTGCCACAAGAGGTCTCTCAACAACCAGAAAATAAACAAAATAACCCATTTTGGTGAAAGACAATTAAACATTATTTTAACCCTGTTACATCTGCTTGAAAGGTTTATTCATTACAGCAATATGTGTGACAGCAAAAACAGTGTACGTGTAAAAACTGAGCATTTCATTAGCAAGAAAACAGTTAAACAGAGCATCTACCGCGCGAGAATTAGAGATAAATTATTAACTTTCACTTTTGCTCTCGTGGATAGGAAAACCTTTTACGCACAAACATCAATTAGCCTATAAATAATTAATTTTGTTTGTTAAGCACAAAGATTTGTTTCAAAACTATTTCTAAATTCAGCTCTAATTTCCAGCTCTTTTTTGTCAGACGGCACACCAGTTTGATTTTCATTCACCGTCATTCGTTTTAAAAAGCACTCAGTCCATTTTATTTGTATATGTTTTACTCGAACGCATAAACTCTCCAGGTGCCTGATAGTTAGATGTGGAGCTAACATTAATCACATTCACTCTGGTGAACTGCATCCATGTTAGCACGTCACATTTGATATGGTAATTTCACAGTAGGTATACACACAAGTTCGAAGACTTGTTCTCACCCCCTCCAGTACAATTCGGCCAGGTATACATTCGCCATAATATATTAAGGTGAAAGTCATCATAGCTTGCGTAAAACAGACCCAGCTCCCAATAGATCAGATAGATTAACGGCGATATTTTGCGGTTGTATGTATTACTTGCACCTTAATAATAATAACATAAATTAAACACTTTATTCTGTGTTCAAAAAGACAAAATAAACTTTTTGGGGTGATATTAAAAGAAATTCCTGTTTTTGTTAGGTCGGTCATCGAGACCTGGAGGACATACTGAGAGACATTGACTTGAATGGAGATGGGAGAGTGGATTTTGAAGGTAAGAAGTAGCACTAAGTAATAATAAATGATGAAAAGCCGTAGACAGTAAACAGTAGAACTAGAAAGTACTTTTTCTGTTCAAGTCTCTCTATATAATCTCTCTCTCTTTCACTCCTTTATAGAGTTTGTGCGAATGGTGTCCCGCTGAGAGGGCAGCATTTCTATAGTGTCTCCAGCAAAAGAAACTGAGATGCTGTACTGCTTCCTGCTGGTCAAAGCAGACAGAGTTTTAGACTACTGCAAGAAAAGCCTTGCTGAGCCACTGTTATATGGTAGAAAAACAGAAAACTGGACTTTTTCTGAAGAAAGAAAAAAAAAAAACAAGTACACACACATACTTGCACACAAAAAGTACACACCTATACTGTAGCCAAGTGTCTTTGCACTTTTAATCATGCAAGACCAAACAATATATGTTTTTACATGTACATTTGAAGGGGAAACCATGCTTGATTATGGCAATATTACATTAAGTGTTGTCCCTGTTGTTCCGTTTGTGTGTCTATGTGTGATAAGCTAGGTTAAAAAAGGCATCTGAAGATGTCACACTTAAATATGTGATTTCTAAAATGTTTTTTTGTGAACACAGGTGGACTGATGTGGAATAATTCATGCTGTTGAATGCTTGGTTTTACTTAGCTGGTGAACATTTTAAGGCTTGTGCACACCAGGGCGATTTTTGCTCACGCCTATCGTTTTTTTTCTGCATTAATACCCAAACAATTTTCACTGGTGATAAGCAAAGTGAATGTGGAAATCACTTTAGATGGCACTTAATGAAAAACAGAGATACTCTGGTACAAAAGATGGCGCAGCTTTACAATTCATGACACTTACTTGTTGCATAGAAGAAGAGAGACAGTGACTGCGTAGGTACTGCATTTGAATTTAAACGCACTTCTTGGCCATTAGAAAAGTAAGTTCTATACAGTGCGAATGTGAGCAGTTTGAATGAAATTAGAAAGTACTACATGATCATGTGACCTACCTGTGTGAGGTTGCTTTACTCCCATACATGAATTGTCTCGCATAGCGTAGCGTCCATCCGATGCGCACTTCAGAATCTCACCAGAAGTAGTAGTGAAGATTATCCGGGTGTTTTTCGAAATGAATTCTGACATATTACTTGGCTCGCATACTATCTTTTGCGTACTATGCAGTAAGGAAGTATGCGATTTCAGATTCAGCCAGTGTTTACGCGCTTATTAAAACCATTCACACAATATTTGCTAACTGGCAAATAAAACCTGGATAGTTCAACAATAAAAATCACCATGAAATCCTATTTGATCTACAATTCCTTTACATTACAACTCCCTATTGTCAACATATTTGTAGTCGCTGTTGTGTTTATCATGCAGCTCCTTGTGCTCCTTCAGACCAATGAACATTGGTGCATCCTTGTTGTTAGGAATGTGTGTTGAGCAATTTGAGCGCCACCAAGCGCCATTGGTCGACCATTTATTTTTAACTTGACACATTAAACGGCAAACAAAATGACACCAAGACAATTCCTTTACAATTTTGTAGATGCTTTTTACATCAGCACACTCACATCATAGTCATTTGTTTAGTCACAAGGTTAAAGGTAGTCAAAAGTGTGAGCAGTGTGAAAGCGCGCAATTAAAGTACTTCCAGCTAGTTTTTAACCTCTTTAGAGTTTCATATCACTATACTGAATGATTTCAGTTATTTCATGAGCTCAAGACATTTTTATTTTAATTTAAAAGACGCTTTTACAGTTTTTTTTTTTTGCATTGGTGTAGGCACTCACATTGGCACCATTTGCTTAGTCATGAGGTGTTAAGCTTCGGTCAAAATTCAACACGGTATGCACAGGCCTTAAGGTGTCCAATTATTTTCAGAGAAACTACACAGCTAATGTATTTCCAGGCAGATTTTGACCTCATTATAGTTCCGTATCACTACAACTGTAAGTCTTTGGATGAGAAACTAAGAAACTATTTCTACACACAGGAGGTTACATGAAGACAAAACTGAACAAATGTTTTTACATACAACATCTGAACAGTGTCTTAAGGTGTAGTAAATGTAGTAGAAACCAAATAATGGACAATAACATGCTGTTTAATTATTACAAAATAATGAACACCTCAAGTATGCATTATTTACTAACAATTCAATGGCCTGTTTTCAATTATCCCATACTCATCTCAGTCATTGACAATCAGGAGTCAATGTGACTCTTAATGATATTAATGCTCATTGTAACAGAAGCTAAACACTCTGATCAATATAAAAACTGTCATATAATAATAAGTCATAAAATAATTGCAAAATGTGAAAAAATCTATATTTTGAAGATCAAGCAGTAAATACTGTTGGGAACCAGACAGTTGATGGTAGCCATTGACTTTCATATCTAGTAGGACAAAAACTACTAAAGAAAGTCAGTGTCCACTATCAACTGTCTTGGTTACCAACATTTTCCAAAATACACTCACCAGTCACTTCATTAGGTACACCTTACTAGTACCGGGCTGCACATCCATGATGCAAATTTCCCATTCCAACACATCCCAAAAGAGCTCTATTGGATTGAGTCTGGTGCTCATCGTCATGTTCAAGAAACCAGTCTTGAGATGATTTGTGCTTTATGACATGGCGCGTTATCCAGCTGGAAGTAGCCATAAGAAGATGGGTACATTGTGGTCATAAAGGGATGACCATGGTCAGCAACAATTCTCAGGAAGGTTGTGGCATTGACATAATGCTCAATGGATAATAATGGGCTCAAAGTGTGTCAAAAAATATCCCCCACACCATTACACCACCAGCAGCAGCCTGAACCATTAATACAAGGCAGGATGGATCCATGCTTTCATGTTGTTGACGCCAAATTCTAACCCTACCATCTTAATGTCGCAGCACAAATCAAGACTCATCAGACCAGGCAACGTTTTTCCAATCTTCTATTGTCCAATTTTGGTGAGCCTGTGCAAATTGTAGCCTCAGTTTCCTGTTTTTAGCTGACAGGAGCGGCACCCGTTATTGTCTTCTGTTGCTGTAGCACATCCACCTCAAGGTTGGATGTGTTGTGCATTCAGAGATGCTCTTCTGCATACCTCGGTTGTAACAAGTGGTTATTTGAGTTACTGTTGCCTTTCTATAAGCTCGAATCAGTCTGGCTATTTTTCGCTGACCTTTGTCATCAATAAGGCATTTGTGCCCACAGAACTGCCGCTCACTGGTTATTTTCTCTTTTTCAAATCATTCTCTGTAAACTCTAGCAATGGTTGTGCGTTAAAATCTAAGTAGATCAGCAGTTTCTGAAATACTCAGACCAGCCCTTCTGGCACCAACAACCATGTCACTTTCAAAGTCACTTAAATCCCCTTTCTGCCCCATTCTGATGCTCGATTTGAAATGCAACAGATCGTCTTGACCATGTCTACATGCCTAAATGCATTGAGTTGCTGCCATGTGATGGGCTGATTAGATATTTGCATTAATGAGCAGTTAAACAGGGGTACCTAAGTGGCTGGTAAGTGTAAATTCTTTTGCTCTAAAATAAGGATATCTTCTGCTTGTACTTCTTTTAAAATGAGCTGAAACAACACAATTCCTGATATTTTTTGGGGGAACACTTAATTGTTTTATGTTCAATCAACTTTAATTTGAAAGAACAATTAAGTTGTAACTTAGTCTATTTTTATTGGGACAACATAAAGGAATTTTGTGGTACCCAGCATTGTTTACAGTGTGTGTTCAGCAGAAGAAAGAAATTAACAAGGTTTGAAATAAGTGAGGAGTGAGTAAATGATGACAGAGTTTTCATTTTTGGATGAACTATTGCTTTAAGCATGAATTACTGCATATATATTTTTATATTTTGGTTTTCAGTAATGTAACAGTGTAATTGTGTTGACTTACTGATAATATGTTGTATAAGTCATCTATCATTTGTCCTTGTCAAACTATTTAACTGTTTTGTTTCTAAAAACCCACAGTGTGAGCCTGAAACAGACACCAATGTACAAGATAGAATTACATTTGGTAAAATTTTGCCTGTAAAATTAAAGTGAAAACATAAGTTTCCAAGATTAGACATGTTCCATTCACTTTTTTTAGTTATCATGACATACTTGTCAGGCAATTGATTTCAAGAGCACAGTTTCACTCTATACAAATCAATGCACAATATCTGGATATGAGATGAATATTAATTTCCTGATCGATATAACTTTAAAAAGACAGTCCGCAAAGATTTATTTATTAGCAGAATTGTTGAGCCTCGTTATGTCTGTTTGTATGACAGTGTCAGACATTTGTAGTCTTGTTATCTGATCCGATAATTGCATGCCAAAAAAGCCCTTCATATGTAATATAGTGGTTTGTTTGAATACATTGTAACAGAATAAGCAAATAAAAGTGTGTCTAGTAATAGCATATATTTTTCATCAGCACATTTGTGTGAGCTTCGTTACTCTGTGAGTTTCTTCATTAGTTTGGGTTTGCCTATACACCTCCTCTAAATCTATTTATATCTACGAGGAGCAACAGTTTTTGCTGGTGTCTGTTCAGTTGTTCTCCAAATCATTCAGCAGCGAGCATCGCTTTCCCAGCGGCTGGAACAGACTGTTCGTGTTGTCATGGCAACGGGCTCTTTCCTCCGGACCAAAACGGGACAGAATTGTACCGCTTTCTCTTTATGAATGCTGACGGCAAGACTTACAAAATAACGCCACCATGTGGTCAAAGCAAGAAGCGATCTTTTTATTATTATTATTATTTTTATTATTATTAAATTTTTTTTAACCATAAGTTCAACCACGACATATTCAACATACCAATACATATAATGTTAGTGTTGATATAAAAGTACATGGTAAACAATATATATATAATAGTGATTAATATTATCAATAAAAAGTTTATAAGTTAATTTTGTATCTTTAAGTTTCCCATTAAATAAAACAGTTCCGCCCTCTAGCTGCCTATGAACTAACCAATGAACAGAAGCTAGCTAATTTATGCGAGAAAGAGAGTGAAAGTTGATACACTTGATTTTTAAAACAATAATAATTTGTTAGTATAGTTTTTTTAATGTTTTAAAATATGATAAACATGATTTCACATTATTTATTGATAAATGTATAAATTTAATATAACATATTGTTATCTAATTGTCATTATTTTTTCAATTCAGTTCAAACTGTAATATTGTGGTTTTGTTGATCCATTTATCTTAAAATGTTTGTTAATTTATTGATTACACTTTTATATTAATAACGAGATTATTTATTAAGTATTTTTATTGATTTAAAGATTTTATTCATTCATTCGTTTTCTTTTCGGCTTGGTCCATTTATTTATCAGGGGTCGCCACAGCGGAATGAACCGCCAACTCATCCAGCAAATGTTTTATGCAGCGGATGCCATTCCAGCTGCAACCCATCCGTGGGAAACATCCAAACACACTTATTTACACACATACAGACATTTTTTAGCCTACCCAATTCATCTGCACCGCATGTCTTTGGACTGTGGGGGAAAGCGGAGCACCCGGAGGAAACCCACGCGAACACAGTGAGAAAATGCAAACTCCACACAGAAATGCCAACTGACCCAGCAGAGGCTCGAATCAGCGACCTTCTTGCTGTGAGGCGACAGCACTACCTACTTCGACACCGCGTATTATAAAATAAATTAATTAATTGATTTTTCATAAATTTGTTGTGATATTATTATTGTTAATTTTTTTGTAGTTTGTAACATATTTTAATACAATACTCTTTATTTAATAAATAATAGTGATAATTCTAATCAATAAAAGGTTAAAAAACTTTATTTTGTGTCTTTATGTTGCCCATTAAATAAAACAGTTCCGCTCTCTAGCTGCCTATGAACCAACCAATAAACAGAAGCCAGCTAATTTATGCGAGGAAGTGAGTGAAAGTTGATACACTTGATTCGCTAGTTCTGGACACTTCCATCGACCGTGATTGGTCAGAGCCCGCCGGACTTGACGAAGCCATTCTTCCTACAAACAAATCAAACGCAACAACCTGTCATTTGGCTTCTCGTGATTGGCTGATGTCGGAAAAGTCCCGTCTCCCCCGGAACCTGTCTATCAAGTTAGTCTGTCTCTCCTTTCTGTTCCATCCCTTCAACCTGCGCTGCTGACTGCACATACCCACAGTACTGACGCGGCCCTCCCGGTCAGAAATAGCCGTGATTTCAGTCGCAAAAAAGCCCAAAACGCACGTATTGTGTGGTTTACAAGCGCAGAACAGCCACGGCGTGATCTTGTGTTAAAGGAGAGCGAGCACGCACCGCACACACGGGCGCAGATGTGAGGGAATATACCTGCAGACTCCAGCTGCCAGCCACACAGATGACAGAGCAAGAGGGAAGTCATTTAGCCAGCTAACGTTAACCACCCGCAGCTAAACCCGACTAACAGGCAGGTAAATGAGCGGCGATCTGGACGGCAAAACAACAACCTGCAACTGGAGAATCTGAACGAAGCCGGTCGTGCACCACTGAGAGTGTTTCGCTGACTGCACAGTAAGAGTCACACACACACACACACACACTCTCATATGGGCTTTCCACACGTCAAATTTGATAACCCAGGGCCATTATGGAAACCAGATTATCATTTTGAAGCTGTCACACACTGTTGACTTTTTCTCACCTTCGGTTAATAAAGAGTAATCGAGGGTTTTCAAATTTCAGCTGCATATCCTGGGTTAACCTTATTTGCATATGTATGATGTCGGCAACTGATTGGACGCGTACACCTCTAGACGTGTCCAGCGTTCATTTGAGGAAAATGTCGCCACATAAATAATGAAAACGAATTATAGAGACAATTCCTTCTGTTTGTCGGTCATTTTCTCGTGTTTTTATTCTGATGCTAAAACAAACAATGCGTGAAAGTTTGTGCAACAGTATATGGTGTATGAATAATTAATTGGGTGAGCCGCGAGGCAGTATTTGGTTGGTTGTTTGTTGCTTAACAACGTGCTGTCAAATTCTAGTGGAGTGTCATTTTACCCCATATGGCCTTGATACTGTTAATCAGTGTATAAAAGTTAACCCAGGGTTTTATGTGATGTTTACTGTATTAAAATATACTCCCTTTACAATAATATTCCATTAGTTAATTTTAATGTATTTTTTTTACTAAAATGAGCTAAGAATAAACAATACTTGTACAGCAAGAATGTCCAAACTCGGTCCTGGAGGGTCAGTGTCCTGCATAGTTTTGCTCCAACTTAAATCAACACACCTACCTGGAAGTTTTTAGTATACCTAGTTAGAGCTTGATTAACGGGTTCAGGTGTGTTTAATTATGGTTGAGGCTAAAATCTGCAGGACACCAGCCCTCCAGGACCGAGTTTGGGCTCCCCTGCTGTACAGCATTATTAATCATGGTTTAACATTTGCTATTGTTAGCATTAAATGATGTACAACTTTATATACTTGCGTTTATGTGCTGTGGGAACCATAGTATTTCAGGCCTGTAGTTAGGGGGGTTTGGGTTTTTCAAAAGACCCACCCTCCACTGACAAAAGTCCAGAATTTGTCCCATGTATGAGCTCAATTGTCCTATTTTGACTGCTATGCCATTATTAATTGTAAAAATAACTAACTGAAGAAGGCTTTAAGACCAACAATAATCTTTTACTCCTGACCAACTGTATAAAGTTTATAAGTAACTTAAATTCTAAATCGTGGACCTTATTCTTGAACGGAAAATCATCAATGAAAAGGCAATTCTGAATTATGTTAAAGTTAATTATAATACTAATTAGGCTATTGTTGTTATCTACAGGGTATCCGCGGGGTCTTAAAAAGTTAAATTTCAAAACGTAAATTTCAGATCTTAAGTCTTAAATTCACTGAAATATTGCCTTGTAGGTCTTAAATCATTTTAAACGGGTCTTAAGTTTCTTTTGTTTGTGTAAAGCTATCCAATCAATTCAACATATATTCAATCACCAACAACACATCTCAATAAAACTTTTAGCAAAACTGTATTTATGATTAATACCATAACAGTTTGCTGTGCATACATTTAGTTTTATTAATCCTTTATTTTTAAAGATTTTTTTTAGTATCTATACAACAAGGGTCTACTTGTTTTGACTCATTGTTTAATATATGGCTAAGAAACCTTAGAATTAGTTTTTTGATAGGTCAAGTAAAAAAAAATCTAAAAAAAACCTGCAGAAACCCTGTATCTATGAATTTTCAAATGTATTATTTTACTAGAGAGACTAGAAATATAATTTCATTTCTCAATACGGTTATTATTTTTGTTTAAATTTGGTTTTTATCATTCAAATGGCCAAATTCCCACTGATGAGAGTTGAATGTGCTGGTCAGTTTGTTATTTGCCTAATAAATGACAGCAGGTTCATAGTATTTAGTTTTAAACTTTAACAGATACAGTTTTTATAAGGATCTATTTGATAAATTTGTATTTTAAAAATAATTAGTATAAATAAGGTTATATATTTTTTTAAGTATATTTCTTTATTCAAAGTATTTAGGAAATGTTTTTGGTGCATTAACATTGTGGTTATGATGACCACTCAACAAGCTTATCCAGAAAATACTAATAGTGCTTAAAATGTCACTAAAATGCAGTGTTTAAACCTCAAATGAAAAGGAAATTAGGCCAATATCTGCAAAAAATAAATTTTTCAGAAAAAAGAACCACCCCTTTCACCAGGCTGCTTACTGGCCTGTATTTGGTATTGTGGTACTTTGATATTCAATAGCTGCTAATCTGATTTCCATCTTTAGAAATTGCAAAGAATACATTTCTGAAATTATACTATTAAGGAAAATGTCTGAATATGCGAACAACATGATTCATTATGTACTTTGAACTAATGTTTGTATTTTAAAATAATATAATGTTTAAAACCCAAAATGGAAAAAGAAAATGTTCCGTTTTTTTTGATACTCCCTTACAATTGACATGAATCTTATTTAATGATTAATGCAATGATTGCTCGGTGAACAAAGCAGTCCAGTGCTGTCAGTCACATGGTAAAATTGTTGGTTGTTTTATATTTCTGTCATAGCAGTTATATATTTATCTACTTGTAGCTTACTTCACACTCTTTCATGCTTCAAAACGGTAGGGCTGGGATTTATTTTTGGTATCTGTTGCTCTGCCTATAATTTGATTGGCCAATTTTAGCATTGATGAGCTCTTTAAGACCAGTTACAGCACATTCTATCAACAAACAGCAGCAATTTCAAAAATAAAATGTCAGTTCTTGTTCACAGATTTACACTCACTTCCTTTTTTCTTGACTCTTTCTCGTTTCCTCTTGGATTTTTGTAGGCCATGAGGAGGGTGACATTGCACTGTGCTGCCCGGCTCGTAATCGCAGCGTTATGGCTGTTGGTGGAAGTGTGTCGGGCTGAAAGCGGGGCCCAGAGCCTGGCTGAACGGGTCATCTGGGCTGTAAACGCCGGTGGGGACACGCACACAGACGTGCACGGCATTCAGTTTAAAAAAGATCCACTGGAGGGAAAAGTAGGCAAAGGTGAGTCCTTGAGAATGTTTGGCATTGAAGAGGAGGTGTTTTTCATTAGCCTTCTGCCCAAGAATTGGCTATTGTTGAAGTTGTGAAGGAATGAATAAGTGTCTGTCGTGTACAGATGATGAACAAAATTCCTAGAGTCTTGTCTCCAACCCTGATCAAACTTGCCTACCTTTGATATTCTATTGATTGGTGTAATAAAAAATATTGATATATATATATATTTGATACTGAAATACTGTAAACGAAACAATCTTGATTTAGAGACCAGCTTTGATCTATTGCTTGTCAATATGACTGTTGTCCCTTTTTTGCCCCCATTAAATCACTAAATTTAATATATAGTAGGTACTGTAATCTCCATCAAAGGTTTTGGAGGTTTAGCTGACAAGAAAAAAGTCCAAAATGGTCAAAAACACATTGACTTAGATACTGTAGTACTAAACATTAGTGTAATGCAGTATTGAAAATTCAGTAATTTACCTTCAATGTGTTGTTAGAGAGTGCTATGGTAAACTTTAATGTGTAGTAATAATTTATAAGTATAAGGGTGTAACGATGTTCAAACTGAACTGAAAAAAAAAAATGTGATGCACCGCCTACGTTTTGCACTGCAATATGCTTTTAACAAACCGAGGTTTTTACTTTCCCATACCTCCACCAAGCTCCTCACTGAGCCCCCCGAATCAAGATGTCCTCTGCAGTCTGTAGCACAATGATGTACTGGATCAGGTCTAATATGTAGTGGACATTGTAATGCCCATGCTACTGTGGTGGTTGAGTTTAAGGTTGGGGTAGGTGTAGATGTTAATAATTGTGAAGGTTTGGGTAGGTGTAAACGTTAATGGAACACAGTGTAATCGATAATTTAATAATCAATATAACATATTACAATATAATATGTTTAAGCAACTAATAACACAGTGAATTAGTGTTCATGTGAATGGTCCATGATCAGTCAACAACTCTAGCAGAGGAATAAAAAAAAAGCGTGTTCAGTGTAATTTAAATGACATGCATTGGAGGATTTTTGTCTTCCCTGTTAAATATAATGGTGACTGAATGCATGTCGTTCTAGGTTATTTAATGTGTTTTCTGTCACTTCCTGTTTAGTCTGCATTTATTCAGTCAGTCAATAGCTGCACAATTAATAATTAAAAAATCTGGATCTCCTATAAAGCACCCACACAGCCCAAATTATAATCATGATTTGAATATGATTATTAATTCTTTGCAGTGCGTTCAAATCCGTGTTTGACTGAGAAAGATATTCAATTTTCAACTAGTATAATTTCTGAGTTACAAATGAGCAAATAGCACTGAAGTACTGGGATAACAGTTTGTAGTTTAGATATAAACATTGATGGGTTCCGATAGCGCAGTGGTTACTGCGCCGACATATGTTGCGGCATCGCTCTGGGTGTTCTGAGTTCGAACCCTGGCTCATATTCCTTGTTGTACTGTTCTTGTTATAAATATAGAGCAAATTACATTTGTATCTTCCCCTTTTTTCTGATCTGAAAAATGGTCCAATCCGAGACTCAAAACCGGTAATGTGATCCCAACAGTAAGAACTGTGATCTGTTGCACCACCACAAGAAAGAGTATCCTAGAGAGTAGTTCTTTTTCATAAAGGTTTACTCGCCTTTGGGTCTTTTCAAATCTGTGTTGTTGTCTTTCATATGTGGAACACCAGAAATGGATATTTAGAAACCATATTGACTTTCACTACATTGAAGATGATACTAAAAGTAAATGTCATTGTGTTTCTTGAATATCATGTGGTTTTGGAAACTTGAGAGTGAGTAAATGGTAACAAAGGTCATTTGAGTGAACTATGCCTTTATAAATGAAATATTACTGTTATTTTGCTTACACTGCATTTGCCTGTATTTCAGTATGATCATTTGATTTTCTGTTATGAAGTAAAAGACTGATGATCAGCTCATTTGGCTTATTAGTAATCACTTATTAGAGCTGCCGATCATATCAGGAAGTTCATGTCACTTGAAATGTGATGACTGTCACTTCCTGAGTCGTATGAGAAGTAGAGCACATGTCTGGGCCTGTAGAGCACATTTAAAACTGTGTGAAGGCAATGCGTGTTTGGTCAGATTTCATATTCTTGCATCATCGGCACCAGAAAAAGATCGGTATTGTGAATGTGGTATTTAATTTTCCACCCGGCTCTTCATTGGCTATAAATAGATATTGGAACGCAGCCTGATTAAAACCTTGCTCTCATTTGACATTTTCCCCAAAAAAATGTTATGAAATAAGAGGCAAAATGGCATGAGTATCTGTACCCAAACTCACTTTTTGTTTGTTTGTTTGTTTGTTTGTTTTTCTCCTTCAGCATCAGACTATGGTGTGCGTCTGCCTATCCTGCGCTCCAGCCCGGAGGATCAGATTCTCTATCAGACAGAGAGATACAATGAGGACACATTCGGTTATGAAGTGCCCATCAGAGAAGAAGGAGACTACATACTGGTCATGAAATATGCTGAGGTTTACTTCGCTCAGTCTCAACAAAAGGTGTGGGTTTGTGAGAATTCTGCTGTGCATGGGTCAGAAATGATGAGGGATTTTTAAGGGAGAGAAATCAATTGTTCATCTTCCAGTTTGTTACAAACATGTTTGATTTTGTTTCTTCTGTTAAAAACAAAGCTGTCCTGAAGGATGTTGGGGGAAAATCAGCCATTGACGTTCATGGTATGTTTTTCTCCCACATTCTTCTGTGTACCTTCCTTTTGTGTTCAACAGAAGAAAGAAATTAAGTTTTAAATCACTTAAGTGTGAGGAAAGAGTGAGAATTACATTTTTTGGGTGAACTATCTCTTTAAGCATCTACACAATAAACGTATATAACAATTTGAATATTGTCAATAGATTTAACATGTCTTTTTCAGATTTCTTGTTATTAAAAAGCAACAAAACAGACTGTTATATATTACTGTGTTTTTTATGGAAAACACTTACTAAAATGCCATTAAGTGTAAAAATTAGAGTTGTGGCATTAAATTGATCTGGGAAATGATTCTGAGTTTTTCCACAAATAGAAAAAAAAAGTATAGAAACAAATAATGTTTTGGAAATTTAGCGAAATCTCTTATATGTGTATGTGTGTATATTATTGTAAATATATATTAGCTACTTCAGTCCAACATCCACATTAGCAGGATGATGAAGCTGAAACCAGGGTGGACATTTCAGCTAGACAGAAGCTACATTTCCATCAACCTATTTTGATGTGCATTTTGGATATGTGTATAAAAAATGGGTCAGGAAAAAAAACACCAGGATGCGCATGCATTTTAAAAATGCGCATAAAAAAGATATGCACATAACTGAGTAGGACAAATTTTTTATTTGATAAGAAAAGATTAGCATGAACTGCGACGAAAACACTTACTGATCAAATTCCAGTATTCGCATTAAAAAAGGTCATGTGAAAAATGCATGCGAATCGATAAACCAGCAGGCTGAACACCTTTTAAAACATCGGAAATGTTGTTTTGGTCATTCTAAAATGCCTCAACCATATCAGTATTAGTGTTATTATAGTATCAATTACCTCCAGAATCAAGTGCACCTGTGTTCCACAACTCACGCTTTCAAATGCCACCGTGCGTTCACTGCATGTCAGGATTGTCTTCTAAGCTGCAAGTCATTTATTAGATGAAGAAAAGATTCATGCAGCTTCTACCGCAGCAAATTCTGTTTTTACTGTCGATATTTCGCGCTAGTTAATCAGGAAGTGACGATTTTGTTTGCTTTAACTCATTGGATGGAAACGCTGCTTTATTTGCTCATCTTTTAGGCTGCAATCCAGTTTTGAGAATAAAGTTAATTCAGATTTTTGGATGCAAACATAGCTAATGATCCAAAATATAGCCAAGAAAACTCTCAAATGGTTTCAGAGAAAAAAAATCAAGCTATAGAACGGCCCAGCCAATTACCTGATTTAAATACAAGAAAAACAAAAAAGATCAGATTTGATAGACGAAACCCATAAAACCATCTGTGAAAAACTCACATCTGAGCAATGCATGTGACTTCAGTCTTCATATAAAAGGTGTCTTTAAGCTGCCATCACCAAAAAAAGCCTTTTAAATAAAGTATTAAATACATTTCAGTAGTTCACTACTTTATCCTTTCCGTTATTACACATAACAATTTTTTCTTTTTTTATATGTGTATGTATGTTTGTATTGTTTGGGTTTTTCAACAGCTCCTTTAGAAATATTATTCCCAGGAAAATACATGAAGTGTTAAAAAAAATTATTTTCCCTGCTGTATGCGTATATATAGAGTAGAAAATGTTTTGACCCAGATTTGTTTTATTTTCACAAAAAAATTTGAAACATTAAATCAGACTCACTCATTTAATATGCTTTTTTTTGAATGTTTAATGTGGACAATAAATGGTTATCTTCATATACAGTCACTCTTGTTCATTTTTAACACTTGCATTTCAACATTCCATTGTTTTTCCCCTCATTATATTTTTTCTTTCTCTCTTCGTCTTTTCGTTCCCAGGTTTTTGATGTGCGTTTAAACGGGCATGTTGTGGTGAAAGATCTGGACATCTTTGACCGCGTGGGTCACAGCACAGCTCATGATGAAATAGTGCCATTCTCCATAAAAAGAGGAAAACTGAGTGTGCACGGCGAAGTATCCACTTTTAATGGAAAGCTCACTGTAGAGTTTGTTAAGGTAAGAGTTGACCTATCAGGTTTCTGATGCCTTGGGGTGGGTGATATTGCAAAAAGATCTCAGTATTTTTGAGGTCTTTTTTTCTTAATTAAACAATCTTTTGTTCAGTGTATGAGTTGGCATGCTTAAGCCTGTCAGAAATTAATAAATGACACTAAAATCCCTTGTAGGTGGTGTCACGTCCCCATATTAATGAAGGATTCGTTGATTACTCATTGAAATGATTCATTTAAAATGGCTGATTAATTTAGAAAAGTAGAAAGTAACTGATGTGTGTTTGCTCCGGCTTAGTTAAAAATGAGTCTTCAGTAATGCATCATCATTCAGTAATCATTCTAATATACCAATTTTCTAATTTGCTGACATTACTAATCAACAGCAGTGGAGGAAAAAAAAGGTTGCGTTGCTTCATATTTTAGTGAAACTGGCAAACATTTTGCTTAGTTCATTCAGTTTTACTCGTTTTGCTAACTGATCAATTGAATGGATCATACTGTAGTACAGTCTATACAGTAGTATAGATTTTACCAATTCAACAAGATGTTTTTTTTAAATGAACAAAATTAAGGCAGTGGTTTCCGCTTCAACACAGTAAAATCCCTAATAGCAAACACGAGTTTTTTGTGATAGCCATGCAGTCATCTTTTATTGAATAAAGCAGACATTGATCAATCTAATAAAGCGTGCTATTTATGTTCCTCCTTGCTGAAGGAACATTGATTGGAAATGGTGATGTTGTTATCCAGTTACACACACACTCAAGCTCAGCATTTCCAAGAAGATGGATTCTGTCAAAACTAATTGTGGTGGCTTGGAGCATTTTATTTGTTCCCATAGTGCAATTTAATTGATTATTTCAAAGCTGCTCTGTTTTTTATGTAAACAGCAGACTTTTTTTGCTAGTGGGGTTTGTGTCTGTGTACATTGAGCATGATGGCAATCCAGAGGGAAGACGTCATTAATGGATATGAGGATGCAGCACAAGTTATTAATGTCTCTGTCAGTCATCGGATGCCTCACTCAATTAAACTCCACATGAAATTAAAATTGCATTTGTTTGTTTTTCAAGCCAAATCCTGACATTTCTTTGATTTGGGCCAAATATATTCTGGAAAATGTATTGCTCGCTCAGCACCTCGCTACACTGCAGGCGCTTAGAAAACATGCCATTACTATTAACATCAAGCATTCAGTTCAAAAACGAAAACTCCAGTAGACACCCTGATTAAGGCCACATTTACACTAGTATGTTTTAGTCTCAAAATGCAGAAGTTTTATTATGGTGACGCCATCTGTCTACACTATGCCAGGGTTTTCAAGCCCTAAAAATGGAATGTTTTGGAAACGATAAAATGGACATTTTTAGTTTCAAAACACTACTGTGTGGGATGGGGGAAGACGGAGACATCTGAAAACAGAGGCATGGCTGCTGACATTCAGGCTGCCTGATTGGGGCTTTTTCTCATCTAAAGTAGCGTAAACAGAGTTCAGACTTTCATCGTTTCTTTGTAAGTTTAGACTTCGCAAGGTTATAATATACTCCTAAGGACACATCGGGTAAACTTTCGAATGTAATGGCAGTGTACTTTTATAACGTCATTCACCCTGGCTACGGTCTTAACAAGAAAATGAAAACATGACACAAAACATGACAGAGACCAAAAATGTTAAGGTATCATGTACCGTCATCTTCACTGTATGCAAGTTTATAGCAAAACGAAGCCTAATAACTGCCCCGTTTATTTTCATCGAAAAATATGAAACATTAGGCTCACTGTGTGGTTTTGGAAATATGTGCTTAATGTCAGGCTATATGCACACAATGAAGATTATCAGAGCAAATCAATGGTGAAATACGAAATAGCCGTCACATTTGCTGAATATGATAATCAGTAAGCTATCATTTTAATAATCAAAAATAATTATAAAAGTATAAAGTACAATAAATTTATACAATATGGGAAATAAAGGCAAGCAATTGATCAAATGTTGGGGAATTGTTGTACGTGGTTACATAAGTTAGTATATTAACTTATCTTTCCACTCTCCACTTTCCACTTTCCAAAAACACATTACCTGAAAATAAGTAGGCTGATAGATTCATAAGACTGACATGTTAGATAGGTCTACACAAGATAAATTGAAGATTGTGTTATGACTACATGGAGATAAGATTCACTGGCAGATTCGGGATGGACTGGCGAATGTTCGGCTGCTCTCAGCTCAGCAGGTGTGCGCAGAGCTCCCGCTGATTGCCTGGAGCTTAAACGCGAGAATTCGCTGAAACAGCTTTCAGCACATGCATTATGCTAAGCTACATCCCTCCAGCTGTTTGTTTTTCTGCTTGTGAAAGATGAGACGTCTTTAAAAAATGTATCATCTTTCATTTTATCATATCTTATAAAGGAAATTTGAAAAATACAAATGCTGACAGAACTTTGTTTTTTATGTTTTAAATTGGTTCTGTATTTATTTTGATCTTAATTGCTAAAAAAACAGTAAAGTAAATAAAACTATTGTTTTGAACCGTATGATGCATTTAAAAATATCACATATATTCCTAAAATGAATCTTTTAGGCTGATTTATACTTCTGCGCCAAGTGCACTGGTATGGTATGGTGCAGACTTCTCATGGCTGACACTAACGTGCACCTTTCAACTACGTGTTGCGCAAACTCTGTGATTGGTTGGCTTGGTAGCAGACGAGTGTGGGTTGTGCTGAGAGCCGTGAGCCCGATAAAGTGATTGAAGTGTTGAATCATGGGAAGAAGCTCCGGATAGAAACCTTTGTTTTGTCTTTACCTTATGAATAAGGTTGTTGCACATCCACCAGTTCCCGCCTCTGAATAAGCAAGTTTTAGCTACTTGTACATTAGGGTAGCATTCAGAGAAAAAAAAAACACCCGTGAAGAAACCCAACACAGAGGAACATAACCTACTGCCAGTTAGCGTTTCGGAAATGTTATTGCAGAGCAACACAAATAGCAGCAGTATAAATGCACAGCTATGTGTAAGGCAGGCCCCATGAGTCACACCAATCACTCGATGCAGAAGTAAAAACCAGCCTTACTCATTATACTATTTGTTTTGCTGGTCAAGGAACATTTTTTTATTATCATTCAAATAAAAAAATTTTAAAGTGCCGCTTCATGTTTCAGTGAAACTATTCAGCGATACATTCAACTATATTGTTTGATCTTTAAGAAAAATAAACACTTTTTAAATAGTTGTTAAATTAAATTTTATGTAATTAATTACTTATAATTTTTCGTTAATGCTGTTATGTTCAACATTTAAAATGAGAAATTAATGTTTGTTTGTATTTATTTATGTTTATAAAGCCAAAACCAAATGCCGCAGAGAGCCACTGACCTTGCTTGTGTCTTTTATTCACTGTTAGAAGCCCTTCAGGCCAAACACCACATGGAATATATTGGAATGGATTTGCATATTTTCTCCATGAGTTTGCATGCATTCATCCACTGTAAATGATGAACCATAATCTATCCATCTCTTGTGTCCACAGGGTTACTATGACAACCCCAAGATATGTGCTCTATATGTGATGAAGGGCAAACTAGAGGGTAAGACGGATCACTGAGATTGATTGAGTTGCACATCGTTCCTCTTTTAGGACCCTATGGTTTCTGTGAAATGGAAAATGTAGACTGAATCTCCAAAAACAGTTATGAAATGAATTTTGCAGCATAATTTTGGATGAATGAAAAGTAGGACTGTATATTCATTTTAAACTATACAGACTAGTGTCTATAAATATACTTAATGCAATGTCTGTTGTGGTCTTTATTATTAAAATTGTACAGTTATTATATTTTTGAGTTGCACATGTTTAAAATAAATGTAACAGTAATTAAAAGTGAAATCATAGAATTTCAACAAACATTTGTACAGATTTTACTGAATTTTTTTTGAATAATTTTTAGTCTTTAATTATTTTTGAGCAATTGCAAATAAACCAGGACAAGAATTTCAAGAACACTCAAATTATTTTAGCGGTTTTCATTTTTTTTTAAATGAACCGAATCAACACAATTGTAAAGTATTTTTTGAGAAAACTAAATGTCTTATGTTCAGTCCACTTAAATTTGTAAAAACAATGAAGTTTACTTAATCGATTTTTGTTGGGACAACAAGAACATATCGTGTGGAACCCAGCATTATTTACAGGGAAATTTAAAAGCGCAAAACATAGAGCTTGGAAAAAATATAAACAATGTAGGATGTAGCATTCATTTATTTTATTAATAACATTTAATTAACATTTAATTTAATTAATTAAAAAATTTTTTGTAATGTTTTTCAATGTCTGCAATTTAATTGAATCATTAAAGCAAACAAAGTAAGAGGAAAAACAAAACTATTAGAATTAGTGCCCTCAAAGCATTATTTTAGCAAATCACTTAGACATGTTTATCAATTATTACAGTTTCATTTAATCATGAATGAAAACTTCAGGAAAAAGAAATGAATCGGAGAGAATTTGGAGGAGAAAAAACATGTATATAAAATAGGCAATTTTTGCTGAACAATTTAAATATATATCATTTAATTATACATGTTTATTAATTATTACAATACCATTTAACCAGAAAAATGAATCTAGAAGAAAATTAAATAACAAAACTTTTAGTATTAGAATAAATAAACCTAATTTAAGGAAATGTAAAATGGAGGGCCCTGTAGGGCCCTGAAAATGTAACAAATAAATTGTTTCATAGTTTAATAAAATTTTACTTGTGTTAATATGTGCCATGTTTATTACTAATATTAAAACTATTAAAACAAAATATAGAACTTTTTTTTTCTAATTTTCTTTGTAGGTCCACTAAGTGTCATCCTACTATTTTTACTTTTTTGATATTATTTTGTTTTCCTAACAAGCGTCATTTTGTTTCTTAGATGTGCCAAAACTGCAGCCCCATCCTGGCCTGGAAAAACGAGAGGAAGAGGAAGAAGAAGAAGAGGAGGGCGAGGGGCCAGAAGGTGAAAAGAAGAGTGCCTCAACCTCTCCAAAAAACCCAGTTCGGTCCGGCCCGCGAACCCCCAATCCTTACGCCACTGACAACAGCAGCCTGATGTTCCCTATACTAGTGGCTTTTGGAGTCTTCATCCCAACCCTCTTCTGCCTCTGCCGCCTGTGAGGGGGAACAAGTGAACGTGAGGGTGGAAGGAAGGACATCAGGCTGTGGAGGGGTGGGGGGTTTGACGCACAGCCGCGGGACAGGCACAAAAAACAGACTGACGTTATAACAGATAGAAGACAGACAGACAGACAGAGAGAAAGAGCAAAAGACGAGTGAGAGACCTGCAGAAACAAGGAGGTTTCAGGTATTGCTAGTTATTGAAAGAAGAGACCCAGAAAATGTAAGGATTTGGAGGGAGAGTTCATTTCGTGTGTGTGTTTAGTGATTGTGTTTGTACACATTTATTTAGTTTGAGGAGATCTGAGAGGTACCGATTGAAATGCGCGCGCGTAAACGCACACACAGGAATAACCGCTTTTTAAACCTGGTTTGTCTGGTCTGGCAGGTGATTCTGAGGTTGAAAAACTCTTAGATCACGTGATAAAGTTATTGGTTTGGAGCTTTTTATTTTTGATCAGCTGTGGTGTTGATCTGCTGTTGCTGTTTTGTTTTTTGATTGTTTTATAATTATTTTTGGCCTCCTTGTTGAAGGAATTGGTACGAGAGTATTCAGGAGTTGTTTTGATTTGATTTAATTTGGTTAATGCACCTCAGCAGCAGGACATAAAGCATTATTAAATTGATAGTTCTCCCAAAATATGAAAATCTGCTGGAAATTGATGGAATCGTGGTGATCTTTTTTTTTTCTTCTTAATTTTATAGTTCACTCAAAATTTCAAATTCATTATTTACTCACCCTTTGCTTGTTCCAAACCAGTCTGAGGCTTTTTTTGTTCTATTGAACATAAAAGAAGATATTTTGAAGAATGTTGGAAACCTGTAACCATTGACTCTTGTTTTTGTTTTCTATTATAGAAGTTAATGGTTACAGGTTCCAAAATCCTTCAAAACATCTTATTTTGTGTCCAATAGGAACGAGTAAAGGTTGAGTAGATGACCGAATTTTCATTTTGGGGCAAACAGTCCTATTAAGTAAAACATTAAAGAAGATTTTAAGCTTTATTAAAAGTACAAGTCAATAGCTATCCGCATTTTGAGAGTAAAATAGAACATCTCTATGTTGCTCTTATGAAGCAAAAGTGAATCTTGAAGGATCATTTTGTACCTAATCTTATGTTACTTACACAGACTGACACTTCATAAGACGTCACACATAGAATCATTTAAAACCACAGGGATTCATTTTGTTTTCTCTCTATTTTGTTTAGTTTTTTGACTCTCAAAGTGCCAGCAGCAGTTGACATCTTTTTTTATGAATCATCAAGAACCACCATTTTAGTTAAGTCATCTTTAATGTTCTGCTGAAAAAAAATGTCACCTACATCTTTTAAATTAACAGCAAATCTTTATTTTTTGATGGTGAACATCCTTTGTTTCACTTTCATCATTTTTTATTTCTCTTACACTCATACAAGCATCTATCACACATTTTCTGCAGCAATGTTTGTTGTTATTATGATTTAAAGTGTTAGTTCAGTTCAAAATGTTGTCATTTACTCGCCCTGATTTTGTTCCAAAAGTCATCTTTTTTTAATTACATTTAAGAGATTTTGGTCGCAACACTGAAGTCTGTTCAACTAAAATAGACAGCAAAAAAAAGTCTTCTGACGAGATACAATAGCTTTATATAATTTACAGATTTTATTTCTGTACATATTCAAAAATCTAGCAATGCTTATTCCTGTGTGTCAAGGTTGAGCTTCTCTTTATGTTCACTGATCAATGTTTTGACATGAAGTACAGAAATCTCTTAGATTTCATTAAATCTTAATTTGTGTTCCGAATATGATCAAAATCTTGTGTGTTTGGAATGACATGAGCGAGAAATGATGATGTTCATTTTAAGTTGAACTAACTCTTTTATTCAAATTTGTCTGGTGACCTGCTTTCTCATTCTTCGATCTTACTTTTTCAATATTTTCTATCTTCAGCTGCACAAAGGAGACATGAATTCTCCTTTTATATATATATATATATATATATATATATATATATGGAGGGGAAATTTGGTCTCTCAATAACGGCGTGCTTTCAGTATTTCTTTCTTTTGAAGAGAGTGTAATTGCTGCCCTTTTTTAGGTGAGAACATGAGATTGTAACATGGTCTTTTGGGTCCTGTATTGGACTAAAGTGCTTTTTATGGTGTCAAATTCCCTCAATTCCCCCAGTGCCATGATGTCTAGAATGGAAATTCGAGTACTGAAATCGTGACATCAAGACTGGGAATTGCTACTGGTTCCTTAAGTTTGAAATGATGGGTGAGGTATGGTCTGTGGTTAACAACTTGACGATACCTGCATAGTTTGTTCTACAACTGAACTGCGGGTATTTTGATCTAGTTACATAGTAGACGCATATACTGTTTAAATAAACTACTGTTGTTTGTATTTGAGTGCGTGTAATTCACACATTCAAAGCATCAAGTATCGTCAAGCTCTTAAATTACTCATGCTTGTCCTATGAATTTTAAAGGATCACCCCACTTTTTTGGAAATCGACTCATTTTACAATTTTATAGACCAAAACAAAACTTAGTTGACCATTTTTTTTATTTAGAAGCTTGGTTGTTCTGTAGTTTCATCATGTACAAAGACCAATGGAAAATGAAAGTTGCCATTTTATAGGTCAATATGGCTAGGAACTACACTTAATCCAGCACCATTTCGGCCTAGAAAATAACTTTTTTCATATTCTGTCAGGCTCTTTACACGATGTAACTATAGAAGAGTAAAGCTTTTGAATATTATTAAGAGAGAGGCTAATGTTCTATCCTAATTCAATGATTTATGCTAAGCAAAAAAAAAAAAAAAAAAAAAAGGGATTCCAAAAAAGGTGAAGCGTTCCATTAATTACTTGGGAGCCAGTGGTCAATTTCTGGGGTTTGAGATCACAGCTACAACACCCTGTTGGTTAATGTGAATAATGGCATCTTAATTAACATCGCAAAAGGGCTCGCTGATTTATTACACAGTGTAGAGAAGTATAGATGCTAAAAGTCATTACATTTTGTCATTTTGACTGTTTTTTTTCTTTTAGCCATTGTTAGTTGTCTCTTGATTTTTACCAGTGCCACCAAAGAAACATGGATTTGCGTCATTCTGAAAACCACCATCGTGTTGGTGGTGGGAGAATGAAAATGGTTGAGAAATAGTTGAACAGACACATGCCCGCCATACACTGTGAAGTATGGATGCAGAAGCCTGAATTTTGTATTCAAGATGGCAAATTTAATTCGCATTCTGCCTCATCCGTCTTTTCTCAGCATGTTTTGGTTTACATTTGTTGTCTTGCTATTGTTTTGCAGTACTTTTCCTCTGCATCCTCATGTCTTTCCCTTATTCTTTGTTTTCTCAAGCAAGCCTGCCTTAAAATATGACTTGGCATCAAGAGACAATACTAAAACATCAGCTCAGAATCTTATACTCGTGCCACTGCACTGTTTGAAGTGCGAGTGCTGCAGTTTCACAGAGTTTCTTTCATGAAAACTTATAAACAATGCCGTCACCTTCTCAAAAGTTGGATGAAAGCACAGGCTTTGCCTTTATTTGCTTTTTGTTTGTGTTTTGAATGGAAAACAATCATAAAACATGAGGCACCTTTTTTATTTGTCGGAGTCGTGGAGTTTCTGTCGCCAAAGTCGTTTTCTTTTCTTAAAAATTTTCACGCGGTGCATGTGTATATAAGGTACTTGGTTTGTTGTGCCATACGGTTATTTTTCTTGCCGGAATATTATTATTATTATTATTGCTCCTTTTTTTGTCCATATTGGCTATTGGGGTGTCTGGGTTTTTATATATGTTGCCTAGATTGAATGGCGGCCTTGAGTTGTTTTGGTTTTAGATGATTACAGATTTGACTTGATTTGCAGCCACATCGACACACTGACTATTGTCAGAAAGAGGTTAATTTACCGTGGGTTTTTTTATGTTGTGTAATTTAAGCAAATGGGTTGAATATTAAAAATATTAAAAGACTTTATTTTCCAGAAAGTAGTTGTTTTCATTTCCTCAGGATCTTTTTGATTGATTTATTTTTTTTTATAATGCGTGTTTTACTATTGCACTTCCTGGTGTTGTTTTAAAAGCGTTTGTTCGTGTGAGTTTTTGTTTTCCTTTTATTATTTTGCTATGCATTGTGTACTTTTGATTCCTTGTTGCCTTAAATTTGAATACATCCTCATGTGCTTTACCATTTTGTGCTTTCTGTTCTTATTTCTGTTGGTTGATTTGTTGCATGCTTTTTTCATTGTTTTGCCATCTGAAAAACAGTAATGTTGTGTTTGATTTGTCCTGTACAAATGCGCAACATCTTGGACAGTAGCCAAAGACCACACGGAGGCCTTTCATTGTGCCCTCCTTCATAAATTTGTATTGCTTCATGCCACACAATCTGCTGCGTTTGCGAGGGATGCAGTTTTTCTCTGTTAATGTTAGTCATGTTAAACTACCTGTCCCCTCTTGACCCTCCTCCCTCACAACTGAAGAGAACATGGGACCTGAAATAGTATTGGATCGGTTTCCTCCACACTGTCTTTACTGAAGGCTTTTGAAGTGGGAACTGCAGATTAATGCTGTTTCTTTTTAATAAATGTGCTATTTTATCTAACTGGCGTCAAGTTTTTTTGTTTTGTTTTTGTTTTTAATAAGGTCATTTTCATGCACTAATTTATAAGAGGTCATTTAAAATTCTCAGATTGAGAACATAATACTGATAATTAGGGATGTAACGGTATCAGAATTTCACGGTACGGTAATACCTTGGTATGAATGTCACGGTACGGTATTTATTGAATCATTTACATGAAAAAACAAAACTTATGAGAATACTCCAAAAAAGTGCCAAAAGTGTCAATGACATACAAATTAGTCATCTATCTGTAAGCTTTGAAACAGGAACTTCAATTTTAATAACAAAAAAATATTAAACCATGTAAAAAAAATTAAGTTTCAATTTAGTAGTGTTGAAAACTCATCACATTCAACATTTAATCACTCACTCACTTAGATAGAGATGGGTTTAAAGGAAAATTATCATATAAATATAATCTGGTAAAAGCTGGTATCTCTGGGTATTTACAATGTCCCCTGCAACAGAAAAAACCCTCTCATTTGGGACTGAGGTTTCTGGGACAAGAGAGATATGACTTGGCCCAGGTTGACAGCAGTGGGTAACGTTGTGCATTGCCTTTCCCCCACTTGAGAGGACAAACCATGAGTGAGATAGAGATCTCATGTCTGCATCAATCTGAACAGTGTGCTGTGTTTCTGCAGTCCCCATGACGAATTAGTCGTATTCCCCAACTTGCAGGCACGTGCACACACAGTGCTCAACCTGTGCAGTGCACATGCCCTTTTTAGTCTTGGATAGAAAGTTCCCTTCCA